CCCCAAAAAACTGCTCCCCCAGGCCCAAAAAGCCTACACCTAGATGCCAAATCCCTGAAAACCTACAGCTCTGCTCAGCTGGGAAGCACACGCATACTGTAACTGTAAGAAGTATAAGAGCCGGAGATTAATGTAGGGGCCGTACTAAGTAGAATAGGGCTTTGGTGTATATTATACTAGAATTGTAGTAAGGAGCCCGCAAAATGATATAGGTAACTACTAAGGCCCCTATATTAAACCGACAGCGGGGGGAGGGGGTCGCTGTCGGGGCTTTCAGGTTCGGCTCAAACTTCTCCAAGTTCCACTCAGGTTTAGGGTTCATAGGCTGGGGTTTGGGTTTAGGGCTCATAGGGCTTCGGGTGTAGGGCTCATAGGGTTCAGGGTTCAGGGTTTAGGCGAAACCCTAAACCCTAAACCGTACCGGTACACACCCTGGAGCAGGATTTCCGAGCCCGGGACATTCAGCTCTTTTGCAAGGCGTCTTTCCACGACGTCCTACGGTTTGGGGTTTGGGTTTAGGTTTTAGGTTTTGTTGGGGTTTAGGGCTTTGGGTTCATTACGGTTTAGGGCTGTGACCCATCTACACCACCATTATGGCATTAGGTCCCGGAAGACCATCCATACTAGCTTCGGGGACCTAATTCTCTAATATTAACCTAACCCCCAGGCACTTACTATATGAGTGGTTGTCAAAATTATGGTCCCTTTTGGGTCCTTATTATACTACGGCACCTATGATTTAGGGTACCTCAAAAGGGACTCTAGTTTGGACAACTACCTATACATTAGTAGGCACCTGGAGGGTTAGCCTATTAGGGGTAGTAAGCATGGACCCTCTTGGGAAGAACCTCTAAACTCCGGGCCCTAAACCCAACCCTGGCTCCAAGAGTGGTCAAACCGCCAAAGCTAAACCCTAAACCCTAAACCCTAAACCCTAAACCCTAAACCCTAAACCCTGTTTTGGTTCTCACTAGGACCCTAAACCCTAAACCCTAAACCCCAAACACTAGGATTCAGGAGTTAGAGGTCTAGGGGTTTAGGATTTAAGGTTTCGGATTTAGGAGTCAGGGTTTAGGGGTGTGGAGTTGGGGAGTCAGGGATTTAGGGGTTGAGGGCTTCGGGTTTAGGGGTCTGGGGCTGGAGGCTTGAGGGTAAAAACAGGGCTTAAGAGCCTAGGCTTAGTTTTAGGGTTTAGGAATTAACTGCTCAGTCAGGAACCCCAAAGGTAGACAAACAGCATGCACAAGCGAAGCTAAGTCAATTCGTCATGGTGCGAGTGTCCCAAATGTGCTGTGACAAGAGCACTCCCAAGCCCTTTATCCAAGTCTTTACACCTGTAAAATTGTAGAAACCAGAAAGCCCAAATCACCACTCTAGACCGTCGTGGCTGGTTCGAGCTAGAGCAGCGTTCAATCTTAATTGTTCACACTATTACTGTTTTCATGATGACAGATAAAGAACAGTTGGCTGTCGGACTCCCCAACCCTAAACCCTACACCCTAAACCTCCCTACACCCTAAACCCTACACCCTAAACCCTACACCCTAAACTTCCCTAAACCCTAAACTCTTTTGACCTCCTATGACCCGGAACTCCGGAACCCACAAGGTGCCTTGAAGAGCCGCGAAAGCAGGGCATCCTTCTTCGTGGCATTCCAGTCCGGCCAAAGCGGCTGGTGCGCAGGCACCTTTGAAACTTTCCCTAAGGGTCCAAGTGCCCAACTGCCCAATTGTTTTAAGAAATTTGGGGCTTTTTTGGGTACCTAAGGGTCCAACTGCCCAATTGTTTTAAGGACCTTGGGGCTCTTTTGGGTACCTAAGGGTCCAACTGCCCAATTGTTTTAAGGACTCTGGGGCTCTTTTGGGTACCTGTTGGGTACCTAAAACCATGAATAAGGACTGCTTGGACCCTTGGGGTTTGTGGCTTGGCCGTAAATCCGAACCCGAGACACTGTCTACTTGAGACGGCTCCTCATTTTGTTTTTCCTGTATAAATCTCCGAAACAAGGGTTTCTGAAGGCTTCTCTGTTAGGGTTCAGGGTTGCGTTGTCGGAGCTTGTTCGATAAGGCCTTTGTTTGTTGTTTCAAGGTTTGACCTTTAGACCCATGCCTCAAGGGGTGAGGATCTCGAGCCACAAAACTGAAACCTGACCACAAACACAATCCACATCCCTAACGTGCCATAGACATATCCCTATAGCTAATCTCCATTGTAGTTCCTGTGCAGGGTTTACCAACTTTACGTTTAGGGTTTAGGATATCATAAAGCGCCCGTGGGCTCAGAGTGTAGGAGTGCAAGCCCTTACTTATACAAATGAGGGTGTGGACACTCACGACAACCCTAGACCCTAATCCATTCACGGCCCCTTGATTTGCTTCAAACGCCTGGCAAAGTCTGCTGGACAGCACAGCTGCCGGTAGCATTTTAGTTAATTACCCTCGGGCTCCAATTTCCGAAAAAATAAGCTAATACAGACACTCATACAGCTATAAGACACATAAATAGATAGCTGGCTATAAGACACATACGTATACATATATATATATATATATACATATATATATATATATAGAGCCTGTAACACAGTAGCCCAGTACTTGGCGACTGGAGCCCGGGAAGCTGGGAACTCCTTATTCAAACTGCCCGGAACCCGCCACCCGCACTTGTGCTACCGGGACAAGGCTCGGTAGTCCTCGACCATACAATGGGTTTAGGGTTTAGGGTTTAGGGTTTAGCGAACATTGTGATATTACACTTCAAATCATTGGTAATGAAATTCTGGTATTTTCCTTAAGCAAGGGATATTGGAAGGTCTGGATAGCTATGCGCCGTTGCCTAAAGGACGCTTCAGGAAGTTGGAACAAGGGTTAAGGCGTATCTATAGCCGAAAACCCTACCGTTTTGCGGCTTCCCTGTTACGATGTAGATGATCAAGGCCTGCGCAATACACCAAAAGCAAGAACCACATGACAGACCTGACATGGAATGAAGGCTCTAAACTCAGGCGGTTCGTGTATGCGGGCTCCTCACGGCTGATCGAAAATTGAAACAAACCTCTCGACGAGGGTAGAAGCGCTACTTCTTGAAACAGGGGATATTAAGGGACGGTCTCTGGTGCAAACCCCTACCGGACCTGCTTCCAGAACCAATCCCATGCATCCCGATGATAAGTCAACATACTGACTGAGAGACTCCAAGATCTCGCAGGTACGCGAATTATATCTTCCTGCATATTCCTTTCAAGAAGACATTGGAGTCTCTGGGATACGCAGGCTGGACATCGCTCTAGCGTGCCTTAGTCAACCTCGAAAGACCACGGATCGTCGTTCGCTTCGGTGGGGGCATCCTGGAGCTTCACGATTTTGAACTTCCAGTCCGTGGCTGTGGCAGGATAGTCCTCTTTTGTGTGTGCATGCTTCGGGTTGGGGGGGGGGGGGGTTAGGGCTTAGGGTTTTAGGGTTTAGGGCTTTAGGGTTTAAGGTTTTAGGGTTTGGATGTGTGTGTG